GGAAACTGCAGGAAGCAGGACTGGAATGGAAAGAATGTCAGCTGGAAAGACAGACAGAATGGCACTTTAAACAGTTTTCACTAGACTGTAAATAGAAATGGACTAGAAAACCAGAAAAAATGTCTTTGAATGTTGTTTGGATTTTGCAATAACTAGGTTTCATGTGTTACAGAGAAAAAATAACAGGGGAAGTGTTTGAACCAAAAGGAGATCAGAATCAGGTAGCATGTGCTGTAATACAAATTTTTATCGATAAGTCTCTTGAACTCTATTTGTAACTTAAATTACATAAGATAGTCATGCTACCAGCAGCTGTTGGTGAGGAGCGGTGTTCACAACACTAGCCTTCAGGTTTGTCCCAGCATATACTTTTTCTAGTCTTGGACTTCTTTCTCATTTTTACAGGTCTGACTTACCGTTTTCCAGAGGAGGCTGGACAGACATCACCGTAGTTTGGATTTACGTACCTCTTCTGTTCACATTTACATCAGGAACTTCCACTGCTGAAACACAATAGAAATAAGTATTGGGGTTTAGCATGTGTCAGTAGGACGTGTTACTGTGGAGCTGGTGTTTTCCTTATTGGTGTGAAGCTTCCTAGTGGGAGAAAGGCCTATGGAAAGATAAGCCCTGGCTGTAAAACATAAATTTGGCACTGAAACTTGTGAAACTGAAGCAATGATGCTTTTAGATTCAATTTTTAAATTGAATATGAGCATACTCAGAAGACCTGGTCTGTAGGAAAGATTTCCACGAAGTATCTTCCACTAGTGAGCCAGCTTTTTCAGAAGTTACCCTCACTCCTAGAAATGCTAGCCATTGAACTCCTCTGGAAAAATCTGTGCCTGTTACAGAGCCTGAAGTAGCCTGAAACCACAGTGCCCTGTTCCTTCACTCCACCTGCGCGGAACACAGCCCGGCGGGGTTTGTACCGCTCATCCCGTGGCCCGGGAGCAATCTGAGCCCTGCCAAGGCTGCTGGACGCGGCAGCAGCTGCGTGCTGGCCCGGTGCCCACCGCACTGGCCTGCATTGTTCCCACCACCGTCTGCCATCCCTGTGGCCGAGGGGGCTGCTGGGAGAGGGAGGGCCAGGCCCGTTGTCCGCCAGCAGACAGAAATGTAGGAGACAGCTTTGGGAACGCAACCTGCTCGGGAGCAAAGTTCTGGAGTGCAACTCCTGCAGCAAAAGGTTGGGGAACTGATGTGCTGAACAGCAAGGAGAGACCCTGGGCCAGCGAGGAGGCTGCCTGGACTGCGATTCAACATGTAGAAAGATGAGATCCCCTGACACTACAAGTCCCAGTATGCAATACTCCTCTTCCAGTTGCATAACCTGCACCCTGGCCCCGGGTGAGGTGGTGGGCAGCTGGAGCTCCTCTCCCATGCAGGCCAGGACAGGTGCTGTTCCCAGGCCGCTCCTCTCTGCAGAAGGTAGCAGGAAGGTGCAGGCTTCACAAGCACCAGTCGCTCTGGCGCCAAGGGCTGCATGCACCCTTTGGCTATAGCGGATGTTTTGGGACTTGCAAACACATGCCTGCAAGCAGCTGTGTGGTGGGAGGGTGGGTTACTGCTAAGTTACCGATAGGGAAATGGAGTTGCCGTGGCCTTGCTGTAGCCCTGCTGCTCTGCCAAGGGAGGTTATGCTTCCTCTTCTCAAGTTTTCTGCATAAGAAAATTGAAAACTACTCTGGGCAGTAGGCTTGGTGGGTGGCTGCTAAACTTAATCCCTAGTTGAGCTATTTGTAGAAAGTGTCTGGGAAAGGAGAGGTCAGGTTAACCAAGTCAGAACGGGGGGTGTGGGCAGTGGCTTGCAGGGTGTGAGGTAGCCAAGGTCCTGCGAGATCAGTCGACACGGCCACGAACCGAGCCTTGTCCGCAGCAGCGAAGGCTGAGCCCACATTAACCCTCTTCACCAGAGGAAGAAGAGGGGACTGAGCAAGGTCTTCTGTGCCTGGCTGTTACCTGGTGCTGTACCTCCTGCCTCACCCCTGTGCTGAGACAGTGCCTTTTGGGCCACGCTTGCTGGAGGAGCCCGCCACCTCATAGCGGGATGGTGTTTGGGGCAGAGAGAGAATCATCTGGGGCTGGAGGGGGGTGAGTCCCCAGCGCCCTGCGGCCAGCCGCTGCCGTCCGACTCGGCCTTGGCAAAGGCTGCTCCAGGCTGCAGCTCCAGGGCGGGGGTGTTTGGAGCTGGGCAGCGCCCCGCCGGCCCTCCGCGCTGCGTCTGCCGAGCGGGAGCCCGTCCCTCCGCCCCGGCTGTCTCCCGCGGAGGAGAAGGCACGGCAGCCCGCGCTGGCGGGGCCGGTCGGGCTGCCGGCCCCGCGGGACCCGAGCGCTAGC